CTTAAAGATGATAGTCAGCACCTTGAAGCGCACCCGGAAGGCCACCGGCAGCCAATGCAGCTCGCGCAGCAGCGGTGTTACGTGGGAGCGACGAGTCCCTCCCAACACCGCCTGCGCGGCCGCATTTTGGACTAGCTGGAGCCTCCGGGTGCTCCTCAAGGGAAGCCCCATGTAGAGAGCATTACAGTAGTCCAGGCGGACTATGAGTTGTAAAAGAGATATTATCTTTTTACATCAAATAATAGTATAAAGAAATCAGTTCTAGATTGAAATATTGTGTTATGGCAAAAAAAAATATCAATGTTTATAGTTCAATTTCATCTTTCCCTTTGATTGCTTCATTTCTTTTTCTTTACAATTTTCTTCATTTGGGGTCAGAATCTTATATAAATATAGCTGCCACCCTTGCACATAATTCAGAATTGTTCACAATTCTTGCTATAAATGAACTTCTCCTAACTATAAATGAACTTTGGACTAGTTTATGTAGACAATTTGCTAATTTTTTACTCTTCTGCCTGATTGATTAATAAAATACAGACAATTTGCAGTGTGATTCACAAATCCAAGATAGCCAGTCATCTTTCTCAGACAAGCCTAAGTCACAAAACAAGAGTTATTTGTGTATACATTTTGTCTTTGTTTCCATTTGGCATTTCTATTTATTGTGAGGAGTATATCCATATTTATTCACTGTACACTATCTGACTATATTATTCAAAATAGACCAATGCTTTGAAAAGAGATAATTTACACTGTTTCAGAGAAGGTTTAAGGTTCCGAACAGGTTTGGTTTGGCTTTGTCCAAAGTAAATGCACATCATTTTTAAAAATCCTGACAATAAAGCCTCAATTTTTATCACAGTGATAGCTTTTAAAGCAGACAAATAGACAGAAAGTTATTTCGGTCATTGACCAATAACAATACAATCAATAAAATGAACAACAAGAACTCTTAGCAACCATTTGTGAGCGGAGGTTATACATAATGTACCTAAATTTTGTTACTTTTAGAGAAAAAAATATCTTAATTTAACAGATAGTGCAGATAAGAGCTTTCACACAATTTGTGGCACACAAATTTAAATAAAAGAGGGGTAATAAACTGGTGACAAATGACCCTGTAGAGCTGGCATTACAGAACAACATGGATACTATTTGTTGTTGATGTGCAGAACGACAAACAGGATATATTCTGCATAAACCATTAGGCAATTAATCTCAATGTGTCAGATTTAAGTTTTGCATGTAAAATGTTTAGCGTAGAACTTTAATCTCTATTTTTCTTTTTCTTTAAGATATGTATTAATCGTTGTCTTGAAAGAGGAAAGAGCAGCGGCAGAAGTGATGACAATAGGGAAAGTTTGGAGAAAAGGTACAGTGTGCAAAACAGAATTTTACTATTTTGGTTTTTTGATTTTTTTCAATTAAATGATTTATTCTTACTTTATTTATTTTTATCTTAGACTTCATACATATCTAGAGTCTACTAAGCCCATAATAGACCTCTATGAGACAAAGGGCAAAGTTAGGAAAGTGGATGCCTCCAAATCTGTTGATGAAGTAAGTTGTAAAAAAAAAAAAAAAAAGTTTGGGATTAAATTGTTTAATATTTTATATAAAATTGCTCCTGTGGTTTTGTATGTTTCAAATACCTCCTTTTCTTGTATATCAAGTAAAAGTCAATTAATTTTGTGTTGGCCTTAAAAAGATCCTATTAGTCCAACAATATATTCTTTTTTGTGATCATTGATTTAAAATGGTATGTCATTAAAAATTCAATATGTTGTGCAATATTTCTTGAGGCTTTCATACATGCACAGGATATTATATTCTTAGTAGAAAACAGCAACTTAAAGCAGCATAAAGTATGCATTTAAAACACAGGTGTTGAAATCTTCATTAAGCACACAAATAATGGCAAAGAGTAAAAGTATGAATAGTATCTTCCCCAACTCAGGTAGCCTTGAGATGTGTGGAATCCACCACCATTACTGAAAATTCTGGGACCCTTGTAAATGATGATATACAGGAGAAGGACAAATTGCTCATGTTATCTAATGAAAGAGCTTTGGTAGCTAAAGTTGGAAAGAATTCATGCAACCTGATTCCAAAATCATAGCTTTTTACAGCACAAATTCCAAAATTTGAATAATTTATTAACAGAGAAGACAATAAGGGTGAAGATAGAGGTTCTGCCTCTGTGTGGTTGACAGATGCAATTATTGATGAATAAAAGGCTAATTTACTAGTAAGTTTTGTTTCACCCATGTTTATGCCTTTTAAAAAACTTTAAAGCATACTTTTTTGTTTGTCTTTGAATCAGTTTCAAAGTTTTCTTGGCAACATTTTCAGAATAGTTTTGCCACTACCTGCTTCCTAGAGAGATAGTAACTGGTCCAAAGACACCCAGGAGGCGTTGGGATTGGAAATCATGGTCTCCAGCTTCTAGTCTGGTTCCTTTAACACTATACCCCCAATTGGCTATTTTATTGTCTACTTTTTACGTGTTTTAGAAACATTGCAATGTATGTGTATTTTTAAATTTGACCAGAGAGTTTCAGTTATTGGCTTACAGAAACATAGTAGATAAAAACATACTTCTATAAAATTTAACAATTTTTTAAAAAGAAGAAATAAAGTGTTTTTAAAACACAAAACTGCTCTGGAATTTGAGTGCAAGTTGTTCTGGTCAGAGACCAATAAAATGCCATTATTCTATTTTAATAAACACTTCATGCAGTGCTTTTCTTCAGCCGATGTACAATATAATGTGCAACATTTGCAGTCAGTTTTTCTTTATTTGAACAAACTGGGACAGGGCTTCCAAACTAAACCCTCCATTGCTTTAAAGTTTGCTTTGAAAGTTATTCCCCAACTATCTTATGCTGATTGTTATGCCAGTCCACTACTGCCTAATGGAAAACTAAGTGTAATTAGCGGAGTTATTGGAAGAATCAAAGAACTGAATTCAGAATTGCTCTGTGAACTCTTACCTACAGTTGCAAGAAAAAGTATGTGAACCCCTTGGGATAACGTGGAGTTTTGCATGAATTGGCCATAAAATGTGCTCTGAACATCATCTAAGTCACAACAATAGAAAAACACAGTCTGCTGAAAATAATAATACACAAACATTACATGTTGCCATGGTTTAATTGAACATAACATGTAAACATTCACAGTGCAGGGAGGAAAAAGTATGTGAACCGTTGGACTTAATAACTGGTTGACCCTCCTTTGGCAGCAATAACCTCA